CGATGGGAAGAGACTCAAAAGCAAGTTAGTGGAAGTGAGTGACTCCCTCAAACGGAACAACCAACTAAGTAGTCAAACACACTTACTATACTCACAGGTCAGCCTGATGTACAGGTAGATCCAAAATAGCGTTTACTGCGATAGCAGACAAGATTCGGTAAGGACGCGAAAGCAAGTTAAATCTATTCTCGGACACCTGCTAGTAAACATAGAGAAGGGCTATTAGGCAGTCGCTGTGCAAAGCAAAGGGCTGACCGAGATTCTTCAGAGCTTTACTCAATGTTGATGCTCCTGCATTTGATGTGACAAAAATAGATATTTATGTGTAAAAATGGCAGATCTAAGTATAGCAGGGGTGGGAATGGAAGGTTGCAAATGCCATAGGCTGACGAGAGTCCCAAGCGCATATAAGAATTTTCATTCTCCCTTTCATCACGCAATAAAACCCAAATGATGCGTCTACATGGACATTTATGGCTTGCACTATGGCTATCTTTACATTTCAACCCACCCATCGATGGATAATGTGTCTCATCAGGACGTGAGAATGAGATCCGTGCATGAAAATACTTAAATATTTCGGAAGGACCTAGCTAAGTAAATGCTTCCAATTTATGGTTCTTATTTTTAAGTGCTCTCTGATGCGCAATCTCAACGCTTTCCATCCTTCCAAGACTCTTTCCCTCTCCTTCTCCACTTTGCGAGCATTATTATATCATCAAATTTGAGGGTATTGTTCAACAAATTCAAAAGTTTGGTAGTGCAGGAAACAAAAAGTAGAAAAAAAGGAGACTTTTTTTGGAGGAAATTCGCTTTGTACATGTTTTTCCCATTCTCAAAATAAAGCGTTGCAAATTTTGCCATTACATTTGGTACATAAATGGAAACGGCACGCAGAAAAATGACGTTTGGTGTCAGAAAAATCTTCAACAAATCGTGAGTTGATGTTTTGGCGCACTCTCATATCGCTGAAGAAGAAAGGCTGAATTATATAACCAGATGTGCCTCATGAAATCTAAGAAATTCAGAATACAAAAAAACTGACATTGTTTTATCGAATTTTGAAAAATCCACAGCAAAGTGCTTTGTTATGAAATTACTTGATTTCTTTAAGACGGTGCCAGCTAAGTTCCGATATTACTTTGCAAAATTGGAAGAAAAACGCAGATTGAAAAACGCTCTGAACTTTATGCTTTCAGTATGATTTTGCTATTTACGTCCATTCTGCATGTGCTAATCCTACATGTCTACTAAAACTAAAGTAAACTTAAACTGACTAGCTTGCTATTATTATCCCTGCACTCAACTCAAAACATCATGTCTAAAAAAACTTTGAGCTTTTTTAGAGCTCCTCACCAGAAAAAGCCATGGCAAGAATGCTAGAGCATAACGAATGTGAGAATCTATACGCTTCAGCACTCTTCCCGGAAATCAGGCGGCACTGCGCCGCCATGGCAAACTCAATATTAGCTGAAAAAAGCTCATTATCGCTTTTGGTAGAGAGCAAAATCTTTGGCCCCATATGGAGCAGCAGTAACGACAGATGGGGAGCTTCTAAGCACATACCGGGTAGATTTATGATCCAGCGGCTACATAAAAGTTGAAATTGTGGCTCCGCGAATTGGTTCGAGCACACTTTATGGCCAAGCCTGATCAGATAATTTTTGCACAACAGCATGAGACGATATGGAAAGAGAAGTTTGCTACGATTCTAGATTTTTAGCTCAAGCAGTAACGGAAAATAATGGATCTTTGCAGTAAGGAACCTTGTAATCAAGGTATTTGGCATGACATACTTCATGCTGCGGAAAAGGATTCTGTCCGCCTGAAAAAACACATGCCGTTGAGGACCCCCTTGTTGAAAGCTATCTTATACAATAACTGTTTTCAATGAGAATACTTTGTATTTCAAGTGCAGTAAATACAGAACAAGAGGCTGAGGTTGAAGTATAAAACTTTGTATATTTCTATATTGAAAGCCTACATCAAGTAAATCATAACTATTTAGGCAAAATATACCTTGGATTTTCTAGGAGGGCGGTAAGTTAAATCCCAAATCTAGAGGCTGGAAGTGATCTAGTGGTGATATTTTACGCTTTCAGCAAGATTGATTCTGGCCGCTGCTCACACCAGTAAAACTTGGACAGCAAACAATGGTTACCACAGAAGACTCAAGATGAAATTTGGGAAAAACTGCATGTTTGCTACAAATTTTAACTTTTTGCCCTATGCCTTTGCATCTATATTTGCAAAGATACGCGCATGAAAAATTAACTATGTCATAATTATGCAGATTGCAAGAACATAGTTTTGGGGAGCTCGTTTTCCCTCACAGCAATTTTTGATAGTCTTTCATAGCTGCCGATTTTGGTACTGCATGTTTGGAGAGACAAAGGCAATGTTTGAAGTACTGATGTAGGAAAGATGGATATTGAAAAAGTGACTGTTTCCAAGCTGAAACTCTGAAGATGGTATGTGGTTTCAATCCGATACAATTTCAATGAAGAATTGAAATCAAAGACCAAAATTTTCGCATACATAAACGAAACCACTTTGCATACGCATATGGCGGCTCGCGAGCCGCATAAACAGAAGTTGCAGGATTAGCATGCGAAATTCTCGTTTCGGAAAAAGATGATCGGGCATCTCTTTCAACACAGCCGGCAAGTCTCTGAGTGAACAATGGAGCGAAGGCGGCGATTTCGATTTCATGCTAATGATGCCGAAACGCTCTTGCAATGCTCCGAAGCCCGAGCAAACTAGACGGCATTCGGCCAAGCTGCTCTGGTCACAGAATAATGGCAAAAGGGCTAGCGGAAGAGCATCGGAGGCTGATGCCCCCGGACGAGTACGGCGAGGATTAGGCCTCTGAAACGGCGATAGCCTCCATTAACACACTCACACCAACACATAATGGAAATAGCAATGACGATTGGGTAGAAGCAATGACACCCAGAGAGTAGATTTTGCAATGGAAAACAGGAAGGGGCAAATGGAATCAACCCAACCGGCACTTTATTTTGCTCTACGGATTGTGATCTAGTGTTCTTCTGGAATTTTCTAAGAAGAGTAATGTTGTAGTGTTTTTGTAGCGTTTTCAGATATTATGATTGTGGAGAAAGGAGAGATTAAAGGCAAGCTACATAAGTCCCAGAGAATCCGAACTACCTGGTCTTTCAGCAAGGGATAGGGTCATATTGATACCTAAATTTTTCGACATCTTGATGCGTATTTTATGTGAACATAATCATAATAGATAGATTAAGGCATCAAAATACAACAATAAGAAATATTCATTAGACTTTGCCCAGCGGTGGAAGCTGCTCAAATATTTCAAATAGAAAAAGTTTTTCTCCTATAATTCAAAGTTTGTCGTATATGTTGATTACATATGTTTGAGATAATAAATCAAGCCTATGCTAAACAAAAAAGTGATTTTTTCGTAAAAAAATAGGCCTTATAGCTTGCCGGAGCTCTTAACTAAGGAACTATACAGCTGCATTTCAATGCCGCAGTGAGATACGACTACTCTCCCGCTTCGAAATGAAATTTGCCTTCCACTTCGACTCCTGAAATGGGTTCGTCCTACTATGCACTTTCGTATACTTTCAAGGCGGAAAAGACATTGAAGACGCAAGAAGACAATGTTTTTTTCAAACTTTTCATCAAGGGTTATTTTCAAAGCACATAAAAATTCGACAAATAAATCTTGTGCTAACTAGCAAAACCAAGTTTTACCAAAAAAACGTCTATGCCAGAAAACTTCGAATCTTGTTAGTATATCTACCCAAAAACCATTGTACTAAAACTACTGTGAATGTAGGATTTTGGAAGATGACTCGATCCTTATCACTTGGTGAAGTTTTCCATTTACGGCATCGACTCAAAAACTCGAGGAAAGAAAAATCATGTCAAAGATTTCTAAATTTTACGAACAAATAAATTCTTGCAAAAACATTGAAACTCTGCTTTCAGCATTTCGTGATTGCATCAAAATTTGGATGACTTATGTCACCATGTAAAGATTACCTGAGCCGGCTATACTCATAGTCTTCTTACAGCACTTTGCAAAAATCTTTGCGAGACCATCCCTATGCAATCCTCCCTCAGCTGTTTTTTTTTTGCCAAATATAGGCAGATATGCAAGCACTATGATTTATAAGAGTGGGGCACAAAGGTATCTAAGCCACGGCAAAAATGACAAACACTTGTTCGGGATTACAAGTGCATCGCATAAGTCTAGCATAGTGCATGGGCAGTAAAAAACGAGAGCAAGTAATTCTGTGGAAAACTTTTCCAATGTACGAGTTTGAGGACAGAACTTTCATGAATTCATTTCTCTAGCAAAATACTCAACTGTGAATCAATTTTCGGTGCAAATATGAAGAGAGGCTTTCCGCCAATTCTCCCTGATTTTTTTCTGTCTAATTTTATTTTAGTTCATGAAACTACTCACTTGACATACTCAACTAAAGCATGTTTTTGCCACCTCAAGAAAATTTTCGCTGCTGAAGTCCGAAAGGTTAATTTATTCTAGCGATCTCTTGGCCTATCCCGAGATGGTTAAGTGGAATAACTCAAACTTACGAACCCGGCTGCTTATGGACGGGTGAATGGGGATTATTCACCCCCCCCCCCCCCCCAATCATGGCGCATGATATCAGATTGACAAATCGCCCTTCTATGCAAATGAGGCATGCTGGGATTCCTCCGGGACCACGTCAGATCAGAGATTGGAGAGCATGTGGGAAAATCGGAAATCGCATAATCTATGTGTTATTGGGAAGCGAAAGCATCTTCTGAGCGCAAAACAAACTTCCCTGAAACGAAATTTGAAGATTTGCGAGTCTCAAGTAGGGTTCACGAGAAACAGTTCCATTCGGGAACAACTTGTTGTGGACATTTTCCCTAGAAAGTGATTGTTGACGATTATAGTTCTCTTTGCAGGGCATACTGTCGATATTCATAGACAGAACCGCAAACGAAAAACATTTATTAGTACCACACAGCCTCTTATCTTCTTTTCTTCTTCTTTTTCTTCTTTTTCACTTTCACTTTCTTTGCTTTCGGAATGTGTGAAAGTCGTTCTGCAACCATGGACCTGAACTCACCAGAAGTAGAAGATACCATATCCTAAACATTTCAGCATTCCATACTTGACCATACGAATATGCAGGTAGCATAGTATGATTCCGAAAAAGAATCCTACAGCAAGGAAGATTAGAAATGGTGTTACAATATCCACATCCTTAAAAGGCCACAATTAGCTGGAACTTAGAAGTCATGCACAAACGTCGAAGAGCTACTGACATCTTTGACTGTTACTTCTTCGGACATTATGGAGTGAATGGATTCTTCATATAACAGCCGTCCTGAGAAACACTTGCAACCTAGAATGAAATTTACCACGAACTAATGGCCAAATCATAGTTTTGTTTACGATGATACCACTATCTTCTTCTCTCGAACTTCCTTCCTAACCTACGGCGGTCATGGGCGGTTGCTTTACCCACAGCTCCAGTTGCCAAGTTGAAAACCGACAAAAAATCTAGCTTTAGCCCGTTCTCATCATTTTTTGTATGAATTTGCCAAACGCAAGCATATTGTGCACAAAAGGAGATTCTACTCGTAACCATATTTTGAACAACTTCTGATTATTGGAAACGGGCGTTTATCGGAAAGAGGAAAGTTCGTTGCATGTTTAATGACGCCAATTATCTACAAAAAATTTGCTACTTAGGAATAAAGAAGTTTGGTTAAGATGCGATATGTTTTTTTCAACTTCAATTCGACTAGATCTGATTCGAATTTCCTACTGATCAAAATTATGGTTCAGCTAAAAAGGGAGGGGCTCGAGGCGGTGCTTTTATGAGATGTATTGCAGTTGAGAGGACGTGTACTCTTTGATTCAACTGGCTTGGCGGCTGGAAGGCGGGGCCCCTGTCCTAGAAGGCGACTGCTCACGTCGGCGACGCATTCTGCGCCTCCCTCGCGAACACGCTTTCTGCATTTTCTAACCTCAGTTAGGCCACGGAGCCCCCCCCCTCCCTTCCAGCCGCCGATCTGGTTGAAGCAAAAGGTAGTAGTATACCATCAAATGGGTGAAGTTAAAGGCATTTCTATTTTTGGGTCATACGGTAAAGTTCGGAAACGAGGAATCGCAGCGAATGTAAAATTCTTTTGCTTGTCTACGATTTCTTGAAAAGTGCTTTAAAATGTAATACAGTCAACAATAGCGTTTATAACATTTACTCGGGCAAGCTACACCTCTTAGGGTAAAGGACTTTATGTCGCCGAAATTGGGACAGTCCCGCGTGGACAATGCTACAAGTACTCAGCCTGTGCATGTATTTACATGTGCATCTGTTGCAGATGTCCGCCCCGACCTCCCATTTTCGACGACATATAGTGCTCTACCCCACCTGCTACAGGCCGAACCGATACCTCTAACGTGGTGATTTGAATCGATGACATTAGGGCCCGTAGTAATCTACCCTACCAGGTGGCATCAAAGATGCCGGCAAGTTCGCGAACCTCGCGGTATGTTCGTGTTTCGGGCGCAAGCTAAATCTTGCTTTAGATTTTCGCTTTTTGATTAGTTTTTCTCTCTTTTTTTGTACTTCTCGAAATTAACGTCTTATTCGCCTTGATCGTTCTGATAATTTCAAACACCCGTACTCCGCAGTCAAATGGACATGAGGTTTTAATAACGCAGGCAGCCGCAAAACGCTTACATCAAGCGCGTTCGAACCTGTGTGTCAACTTTGAGAGCCGCAGCACTAACCATTCAACTACGCGGTCAGTTTTTGCCGTGTGCGGCAGCAATGACAAAACGCACAGAAAAGTCGCGCCTGTGAGAGCGCAAGATCAATACATTGCGTGCTAGACATCGACCTGAAAGAACAGCTGATTGATAAGGGCAAGAGGCAGGCGAAAGCGTTGTAAACAAGATTCAAAGGAATTGCAAGAAGAAGATGGCGCTCTTTTTGGTTATATGATAAAATCATTTATTTTTTCAACAGATATCAAGAGTCTGAACAAAGAAAAAACCATCTAATGATAAAAATCATGGTTTTTTGATAGAAAATGAATTTTCCTGATCCTTCTGCTTGACAAAAATTGTGTGATGTTGCCGCACGACGCAATTTCACAGACGCTGTCGACAAAGGTGCCGGCATCTGGACGTGGTAGGGGCACGTCCACATGCCGGCAGGTTGCACTCCACCAAAAACACGCTATTTCGTGCACTCTCTGACCTGCCGGCAGGCTGAGGGCGAGATGGCATCTCAAATTTCGACGAAAAGAGATCGTGAACCTGCCGGCAGGTTCACACTTCGAGCCAAATAAATGGCAAACGAGGACATTTCTTGGATTTTCTTTCAATTCCCACACTATTTCGACAACAAAACTAGACCGTAACACAAAAAATAGATGACCAGCCTGAGTTGGGCTCCGAAGGGAGTTTGAGATTTTAGGGAATTCAAGTCCACATCAGGGCGAGCTGAGGGTATGAGATGCCGGCAGGTAGGGTGGATTACTACGGGCCTAGAAGTCCCAAGAAAGTAGCAATGCTTCAATAACTCTTTTGTCTGGAAACCTCTGCTATTTACCAAGCACCATGTCGTAAAGCTAGTCCCAAATTAGCAAAAGAGTCATGAAATCAACTAACCCTTTTATTATTGTAGCAATATTGTAGTGACCTTCAGCATTTTTACTTGCTGTCATTTCAAAAAATCTGCATAATTAATGAAACCTTTGGTAAGATTAGAGCCCGTTGATTCCAGCAAAATATTTTTGTACAAATCTATGAAGCAGTTTACGTTGGGGACCCTTTTCCAGATTATCGGGAGTAGATTAAGTATAGAGTTTGCGACGGAATGCAACTCTCTTTGATATGATCCATCATGGTTTACTCAGTAACAAAGTTTCCAGCTATTGGCAATCTCTTTAAAATTTTGACGCGATCTTACATAGTGAAAAGAAATCAGCTGTTCATTTTCTACTGCCATTTTCTCCTACGACTCGAAGTGACAGATGGATTTCACTTTTTTCTTGTGTAGGTGGTTAAAGTGAGTTCTAGCGCATTTTGTCAAACTAATTTGTCTCCTATTCAAAGGATTTGGAGCTTTTTACGATATTATTCAAGTGGGATGAACTTTCACGATGTGGAGAATATTTTTCTCTTACTGAGCTCTGAATGCACGAAGGCACTTAAGATGAGACGAGGGAATACTTCTCATGAGTAAAAGTGCTGATAATGTGCTTTCGTTCATCTCCGACTGTTATTTACCTAAATTATATGCAAACAGGTTGTCTAGGCTAGCATTAGAAACTAAATTTTAAGTTTTATTCATGGACTTTTCCATACAATTAATCAGACAATAAGTACGATGCGTTTAATATCCGATGAATTATCATCATCATTTCCATATATGTGAAAAATTCTCGAATCTTGTTCTTGATTTTGTAGAGTGTCGGGAGCTGCCTCAAGCTTAGTAGTATCAACAACCAACTCCTTTTTCGATTGACTGTCGGAGCTAGTGATACTACGAAGATGTATAATGTCTTCCGCAGATACGGCTGTCTCGTTATTAAAAGATTTTCGTTTTTCCGCGGCTTGCTTCCTCTTCGGCCTGATTTCAACACTTACAGATTCTGCTCGCTTGCCATTGCCTGATCGTGGAGCTTTTGTCGATTTCTTTCCTTTTCTAGCGCTATACATACTCCGAGCTTTCCCAGATTTGCCTTGTCTGACACTACGAGATTCTCGACCTTTCTTCGACTTCCATTGATCGGCGCTGCTCGAAGCTATACTAGATACTATACTAGATCTCCGTTGCTCAGGGCTATCAGATCTCGAAGCCTTTCTTGACCTTCCCCGTCTGGCAGCGTCTGATCTCGGGGCTCTTGAGGGCCTTTTACTTCTTTGTCTACTTGATTTTCGAGCGTCTGTGGGTTTTTCTTGTGTGGGGTCTGCCCATATAGATGATGCTCTTGCGGTTATTGTACTTAGAGCAGCTCGTCGCATTGATTCAGGCATTGTCGTGTAAACTCTTGCGATACTCGCTAGTACTCCTGTTCCGGATACTCCGCCTATTAACCATGGGTACCCGTTGATAAACCATGAAACTGTAAAGAGCAATTTATGCGCTAAAAGAATTTCCAAGCCTAACAGTTTTTATTGCAAGTATGCTCGAGTCATTTGTAACTTAATATGCGTATTGCACACCATACGTGCTATTTGACGAGCTTAGAAGATTGTAACCTGCTCATTTCAGCGACTTCGCCTTGTTTCTTTGCCCCTTTTGGTTCAAAAAGGTATTAATTAGTCAGTAGTATACACTTTTACACTTTGTTACGCTAGAAAAGATTTGATCGAGAGGTTTATATTAAGGGTGCCGTCCGTTGAAACGCTTTGTGTGCAGGCTCACATATTAAGTTACGAATGACTCGGCGATATATGGTCGAGTTCAAAAACATAGCTCAAATATGTGGAACGGTATGGAAAGTCATATTAAAATGATTTAGCCTAATCTTGGAAAAAGGATGCAGCTGTATTGTAACCCGTCACCGCTTTACGCATTAAATTGAACATCCACACGACTAGCTTTATAAAGTGAATAGGCACAATCTACGCCATTCCTGTTCCGCATGTTAATTGTGTTCACTATAAAAGGTAGTTATTATTACCATTTTATGCATTATCATAGTCACGATGTCCCAAATAGACGTAATGAACGCTTATTCCTTACCCTTTTCATGAAGTTTTTCGAAAGTTTTAGTGCCGTTTTCTAGAGCTGCTTCTACTTGGACTAACATAATGGAGCGAATCAATTGTTCTTTATCACTGTAGGATTACAGTAATTCCAAAGCGATTCAAACCATGGAGGTCACATTCAATCCCAGAAAGGAAACGAAACGAAATGAGAACTTTCAATTTACGGTAGCTAAATATAAAGTTTGCCTCTGATCATCATGCTTCGTTAAAAATTATGCTAGGTAAGCAGTAGCAGCCATTTCTTCGATCTATAAATGCGTTTTCACCGTTTGTAAAGCTTCATTTTGTACAAAGTTGAGCAATGAACATTGCAGTCCATTAAAATCCTGTTACACGAGTATTCAGATTTCTTTGAAATTATCTAAATTATTTGAAATGGCAGCATTATCACAGTGACGCCATATGCCGGATTTTCCTAAAATAATCTTGCAGTAATGAAGAGCAGAGCGATTTCCATAAAGTGAATCTAAGTTGAAGCCAGCTTTACAGAATGGTACCTGAAGCGTCTCGGAAGACTCTCTGGCAAGTAGTTATGAACAATCAAATTAGTTACATCTTCTTGGGACACCCTGTGAATGCTTTGAAATTGCAGCATACTTTCACGCATTTACAATTTCGCAGGTGCTGGAACGTTCCCGAAAACAACGATTGCCTAGAAATGTTCACCATGCAAAACTTGGCATATATGTTGGTGCAGAAGTTTTATCAGTTTTGAAATGACCTGCAAACCCGACACAGTGAAGATAAAAACACTTTAAGCTGCATTCGATGCAAAATCTCATCCTCTTTCCATTTGCCATAATGTTTGTCAGAATCATCTGACTCTGCTACTCTAAAGACTAGGTTTGAGTCTTACTTCGTTTTCTCTATTTACTACTGAAGTATCAAATCCGTAGTTTCCATACTGTTTTCTGCTTTGAATCAAAAGAAACCAGTCAGAATTATCCGAATCTATTACTCTAAAAGACTAGATTGGAGCCTTGCACCGTTTTCTCTTTTCATTAATGAATCGAAGCTGTCATTTCTATGCAGCAATACTTACCTTCAGGTGAAGTGGAGGGTGTAACAGTAGATGTCGTAACTGTTGACTTTGTTGAAGTTGTAGGAGTAGAAGTCGAGGTGGTTGTGGATTTTGTGGAAGTAGTGGTTGGCAACGATTGTACCACGGTTTTCTGCTCTAAGAGAGAGATTCAGTTAGAATGATCCGACCTCACAAGTTACTCGAGAGAATGCTGAGATGAGCGCTGGAAATTACAACCCTATCAACCATGTCTGATTTTCGCCAATTTCCAAAAAATTTAGTCGAGTCTTCTGGGGGAGTTTTATTGTCAGCAGATAAGGGAAGCTCTTTTTGCCAGCTGCAATGCACTTGCCTATTGCACTTTTTGCCAACAATTTTTTGTAGCTCTATGGCTTGTTTTTCAGAATTTCTAGAATAAATTTTGAAGTAACCGAAATTTGTATACGGTCGTATACAATCTATGCTAACCTCACAGGGCATGAAATGGTAAACAGTTCATTTAACATTTAAGGCAGTATATCAATCATTCTAACCTCGAGTCATTTGTAACTTAACGTGTGAGATGCACAGCAAGCCCTATAAGCGACGGTACCCTTACTGGTGACTTTCCAGTAAAAACTTTCTAACCTAAGAAATCGTAGAAATGTGTTCTATTGACTAACGTGTGATCAACAAAAACAAAAGAGACAAGGAAACAAGCAGAATTCAATGTAAATGAGCAGCTTCTAATTTTGATGTTCGTCAGTTAGCGTGTTTAGTGTGCACTAGGCATATTGAGTTACGAATGACTTGACGATATATCTATAAGATTGAATGGTGCACTTGTCTGTAGATTGGTGGACAAGCATGCCTGCATGTTGTTGATGCTGTCTGTAGGTTTCCGATGGTATTTTTGTGGTCGTTGGTGTTTTCGTGTCTGCTGTTTTCGGTTAAGCATAGCGGCATGTTATGGTGAGATAGTAATTGATAATGGCTCCACTCTGAAGCAGTTTTTCGATTTTGCTTGAGCAGAATCGGGATTTGGCATATGAGGGTAAGATCATGGATTTTGATTACAAATACACCCCTTTTGAAAATAAACAATACTTCTACCGAAATTAGATTATTTGCAAACTTTGAACTACGGAGCTGGGAGTTGGCACAGGGGGGGGGGGGGGTAAGCGAGCATGCTGATTACGAATATGATAACCATCACTGAAAATGGTCATTACTTCTATCGATTTCATCGATTTTTCGCAAAGTTGGAGCTACGCGGCTGGGAGTTGGCACAGGGGGTGAGCGCGCATCCGATTACGATTATAACGAGTGTTCTTGAAAGTAATCGATTTTATCTATCTTATATATAAAGCTGAATGTCTGTCTGTATGTCTGTCTGTCTGTATGTCTGTCTGTACGTATGTGCGGAATAGAAATTTTTATTTCTGAACCGATTTGGACCAAACTTGGCACACATATACTTCGGGGCAGGGAGCGTGTCATAGGCTACTTTTCGTTATCGATCGATATCGATTTTATTGATTTTTTGCAAAATTTGAGCTACAGGGCTGGGAGTTGGCACAGGGGGGTAATCGAGCATGCTGATTACGAATATAATAATGACAGGCCCGGGCGGAGCCGGGTTTGCCAACTAGTTCTTTGTAAAATTAGGGCTACACGGCTGGTATTTGACACAAAGTTGTATGTATGCACGCTTACTCGAATATAATAACTGTTTAGAATACACATTACTTTTAATTGACTTCTTCCTCTTTCAAAGTTGAAGCTTCGAGGCTGAGAATTGGCACTGGGGTGGGGATAAATGAGCATGCTGCGCTTTCTATAATCACTTTCGGAAATGATGAAGACGGTAAATTCACCTAAAGTTGCTATAGATTCACTTTTGGCCCCTTTACCTTTATGAAAATCCTACATCTGCCCCTAAAATCAGAAAAGCACAAATAGCCTGGTCTCGGGAAGAAAAGGCTTGTAGACTAGACGGCAAGATATTTACGCTAAGAATTTCTAAGTGTCAATACCTAATTATACAGGAACTTGTTTGAAATTCACTTCTGGACCCTTCTACTTCGCAAAAACCATACTTCTGCCCTTAAAAGCAAAAAAGCACAGGGAGCTCGGTCTCGAGGGAAGAAAGGACAAAAACTCAAGCAGCAAAATATTTTCGCCGAAAGTTTCTGGCTGTCATTGCTCAATTATACAGAAACTTGCTTCAAATTCACTTCTAGCCCTTTTACTTTGCAAAAACCATACTTCAGCTCATGAAAGCAGAACTACACAGGGAACTTAGCCTCAAGGGAAGTACAAACCCATATGCTTCTTGTGACAGGACATTTCCACTGAAACTTTTGGCCCCTCAAACTTTGCAAAAAATACAAAACTTAAATACCACACTTCTGCCTTTAAAAGCAAGAAAGCACAGGGAACTTGGTCTTGAGGTAAGGACTCATGACCTCGGATATCAAAATACATATTTGCGCCAAAAATTTCTAGGTGTTAATCAGTGTTTAATTATAGAAGAACTTGTTGGAAATTTACTTCTAGTCTCTTCTACTTAACCATACTTCTGTCTCTGAAAGCAGAAAGCACAGGGAGCTTGGCCTTGAGGGAAGAACAGACCCATGCGACAGGACCTATTCGCAAAGTTTGGTCCTTCTACTTCGCAAAGGCCACTCTTTTGCCCCTAAAAGCAAAGCACAGGGAGCTGCTTGATTCCGAGGGAAGGAAAGACCTAGGGTTTTATGAGACAAGACAATTTTGGTAAGATTGCCCCTCAGAGGGCGTTGAACCAGCTTTATGTTCTAAGGCCCATAAGCACGTACATCCTCGCTGGAGAGGAAAAGGGATCTGAGAGGGGATGCGTCATATCTCGCTACTCTACGTATCTTTCTTCTTTCTCTATCTTGCGTATGAAGTTTTTCATACACTTATACCTGCACATAATGGATGCCAGGTTACTTCCATACAAGATTGGTTTTTTGCCATTTTGTGTGATCCCCATGGGATCCCTAGGGCAGTGGTAGACAAAATTTTAAGAAACACCCCAAAAGTTTTTTCGGAGTGCGTGGCTAACGCCACGCACCTTCATTTTGAAATTTTTTGCCGCGCCCCCTCCTCCCCCCCCCCCCCCCTCGATCCGAAATCCTGGGACCGCCACTGCCCCAGGGGATCCACTAGGGATCACTCCCATTTTCAAAGTGATTTATCTTCCTGAGAAGTCAATAAAAAAGCTGCAAAATTGTACTGAGGATATACTACGACACTGCTAAGCATATTTTCGACAAAAGAAATGGAATCAGAAGATTGTGAACTTTTCGATGATCCCTGGCTCGCGCTAGCTATTGCCGAAGATCTCGTTATCCTGAGATTTCACTTATTTCTACTGTAGTCATCTTTAGCAGCGCCGTAGTATATCCACAGTGCAATTTTACAGCGTTTTATTGAGTTTTCAGGGAGAGAGATAAATGGCGTTGGAATAAAGAGGTTCTTCTGGGGATTCCCAGGGGATCTCAAGAGATCACACAAGATATTGAAAATCAAATCAATCACGCCAGTAACCTGGCATCCATTATGCGCAGGTATAAGGGCGTGAGAACCTTCATAAGCAAGATAGAACAGGAAGAAGAAAGATACGTAGAGTAGCGATATGAAGCATCCCCTCAGATCCCCTCCCCTCCCAGCGGGCATGTACGTGCATACGGGCCTTAGAAATGAGTCCTTTTACTGGCAAGACATCATTAAAGAAATGCTGCTTCGTTTTATTCATATTATCTGGGTTTTTCTGCTGCTGGAAAACACAACATGACGCTTTCTATAGCATGATACTTTTCCTGGAAATCAATCTGAGTTTTGTGATGAATAATCTGTCTGAATAGGTGACATTGGAGGTAGCTTCCTTGTTTGAGAGCTGTCGTATCTGGGCGAAGTATTTGCGAGAGGAACAGCAAAGATGCTTTGCAGATATTCAATGTTAGTAGCTTTTTCCTTGAGAGCATGGTGCCTTGTTTCTACTACTACTCTTGAACGCGAAAGGTCGATGAGAAAATGGAAAATCTCTTCCATGGGATTTTTAGTTAATCAAAGGCAGATATCAATGTATCTGACCCCACCCACTTACTAGCGACCCGTAGAGTCGCTAGTCTTATATACAGTGACCGCCAAAAAGTTGCGGACAAGCCGCCTTCCTTCTTTCATCGCTCATTTTCAGATGTAAAACAAAGATGAAAAAATAGTTGGATTGCACGGAGTGATAGAGCTCTTCAAGAGCTACAACCTACACGTTGCGCTTTCTGAAAACATGTATCCTAAAAATTGTAAAAAACTTTTTCTAAAAAAGGTCCAAAATGGCCGCGTCACAATGTCGCGGACAATAATTCTTCGAACGCGAAAATTTTCCTTTAAGTCTTTTTTGCAGCAAAAACAAAAGTTCTCCGGACAGGTAAACATACTATATTGTAGAACTCATCGAGGACAAGAATCGAGTAGAGGTTACTTTCAAAAAAACCCAAGTTTGAATTTTATTTTGCTTCTTTTCAAAAAATAACTTCTAATTCCCTGCTTCAAGCCAAATTTCTTCACATGGAAACCCATTCAAGACATCCAAACGAAGCTATTCGGATAAAATGGATGCCCTTTGTTATCTTCTATGCATCGGACGTGTGCTGGAGAGCTTCTTTGTCAAAAATGGCTCTTGACAGTGCGTGCACATGACCCCACCTGCACCTCACCACTGACTTGCACCGCTTTGCAGGCTTGTAACTCAGCCGGCAATCACTCTACGAGCACGCATGTAGGCTCATTCGAAAGAGCATGACTTCCTGGACACGATGGTGTGCAAAGGAGTTGGGTATGACAAACAGCGGAGAAATGGCGGATGGGGTGTCAAAGCGCAGCACTGGAGATGAATGGAGTGAAGGCTCTTATCAACACAAGAACAGTCTTAGAGCTCCGAAATGGATCCATTGCACGAAAATTGACAGTTTTGAACTCGTAGGATAAAGTTGGTAGCGAAAGGAGCCCTTTCTAACTTTAGCTGAAAAATCCTTAGCCTACCACTGAAGCTGCGCTTTGACACCCCATCCGCCATTTCTCCGCTGTTTGTCATACCCAACTCTTTTGCACACCATCGTGTCCAGGAAGTTATGCTCTTTCGAATGAGCCTACATGCGTGCTCGTAGAATGATTGCCGGCTGAGTTACAAGCCTGCAAAGCGGTGCAAATCAGTGGTGAGGTGCAGGTGGGGTCATGTGCACGCACTGTCAAGAGCCATTTTTGACAAAGAAACTCTCCAGCACACGTCCGATGCATGGAAGATAACAAAGGGCATCCATTTTATCCGAATAGCTTCGTTTGGATGTCTTGAATGGGTTTCCATGTGAAGAAATTTGGCTTGAAGCAGGGAATTAAAATTTATTTTTTGAAAAGAAGCAAAATAAAATTCAAGCTTGAGTTTTTTTGAAAGTAATCACTACCATATTATTGTCCTCGATGAGTTCTACAATATACTATGCTTACCTGTCCGGAAAACTTCTGTTTTTGCCCCAAGAAAAGACCTAAAAGAAAATTTACGCGTTCGAAGAATTAATGTCCGCGAAATTGTGACGCGTCCATTTTCGGACTTTTTTCAGAAAAACATTTTTTAAATTTTTATAATACATGTTTTCCAGAAAGCGCGAAGTCTGGGTTGTAGCTCTTGATGAGCTCTATCACTACATGCAATCAGATCATTTTTTCATCTTTGTTTTCCATCTGGAAATGAGCGATGAAAAAAGGAGGGCGGCTTGTCCGCAACTTTTTGGCGGTCACTGTATAAGGCTGAATGCCTGTTCGTCTGTATGTCTGTATGTATGTCTGTCTGTACGTATGCTCCGAATTGAAAATTCCATTTCTAAACCGATCCGTACCAAACTTGGCACACATACACTTCG